TTAATCGATTAAATTTCAAAGTTAATCAATTAAAAAAGGGTAGGTTGGTGGATAATTTTGGATAAGGGATAAAATGATTATTAATTATTTAATGAGGGGAAAAAGGGTTAAAAAGTCCCCAGTCGGGTCATGCATTTTTATAAATAAAAAAACAAAAACCAAAATTATTTTATCTTGTCAGAAAAAAATGTAGAACTCATTTTAATTTTTTTTATAATTTTTTTTGCTAGTGGTATACTCATTTAAAAAATATAGAACTCAATGTAGATGAATTTGAAAAATATGAGTTTACAATATCTGGCTTTTTGAATGTCATTGAGAGGTATGCTTATGAGAATTCTGAGTTGCAATTCAAATTGACATAGTAATAGCATGCAGTTTCATTTATTTGTATTTTATGAACTTCTAAAAGTGTAATTGGGTAATTTTTGAGCTTATTTAATGAATCTTGTTTAACTCATTTTAGATATGGATAACATAATTAAATTTATATGATCATATTTATATATATTTATATATATTTGGATCAACCGATCCGATCAGTGATCCATCGGGCCAATCAATGACCTAATGATCCAATACTTCAACCAGGTCGATACTTGGGTCAGGTTTAATAACAATGCCTTATTATCTTATACTTCTTTGTTTTTCTTTGCAAACCCTAAACAAGTATACGAAGTAAAAATAAGATGAATTGTTATATTTCTCTATCATAATTTACATTTTTATAAAACAAATTTTTAAAATAAATGTTAATTTTTAGAAGTTAGAAAAATTGTTAAAAAGTTCAAAGAATTTATATGATGAAAGCTTTTTTTAAAAAAAAATTATGCAAAGTCATTTATTTCACCCAAATATGTTTTGGCTGGTAAAAATTAGAATAATTTTCATATATACTTGAATTATATAAGATAACATTCATCGTAAAAAGAATAAAGTACGTAAAACATTTTATTGAAAAATATATAAATAATGAATTCTATAAAGTGTCTTATATACTTATACAAAAAAAAAGTGTCTTATATATTTTTGCGAGAAATCATTTCTAAAAATACAAGCTTTGTGTGTAGCATTTTTTATATAATTAATATATATACACATAAAAATAAATATTAAGTTTAATTTTTTAAATATAAATGTTTGTCCTATTTCTTTAGATGGTCTTAGTTTTCACGTTAAGTTTGGGGAATATCTTCTTTTATAGAATGACAGACTTGAGTGGATAAATAGTCAAGGATTGATTGACAGCCTGGTGAAACATTCCCGTTAGAATAAAGGCTGATTCGTAATTTTATGATGTTATTATGTAATCCGTAATGATAATGATGACTGATGAGTCCTCTAGGTTGAGGATGGTAATTGATAAGTCTTGAATATTTGGGTTGAGGATGGTATTGTTGATGAAGCTCTTATTTAGAGGTTATTTTTTCGTGGGCCTTTAAAATGACAAATGGAGAGTATCATGTAAAATACTCCAACAATCAAGTTTATATTTGTGTAAGCAGGTGTAATTAAGTGGAAGATGTTTATTTTGCAGCAAAATCCTTCAATTGGTTGCCATGTGATTCCATTTTCCAAGTTCAAGTCAGTATAATGTAGATATTAAAATCAATTCCCCGTACTATTTTCGAAAGGGTTTAAAATATTAATCTTGAACTCACCTTGAACAGAATTGTCTTTCGTGAAGAATATATGTAGTTTATCCAAAAAGAAAAAAAATTAAAATCACTGGGAGATTGCATTTATGATATCATCGTCAAACCTCAATTTCAAAAACTAAACCTGATGTTAATTAAGTTAAACTTAATTATAAAATGAATAAGCACTTTACTTGCGTCTCATATTTTACAAAATACATTGAAAAATGTAAGAAAAGCATATGTAAAGTATTATTATAGCGTGGTAGGGATTTAATGGGTAAGAGATAATTCCATTATCCCAAATTTCAATTTTTATCAAATTGACAATTACTTATTGTTCTAAGTAGTCATATGAATGGTAGTTAACCATAGTCTCCAATACCAATTACTAATATATTTAGGGATTGCTTATTGTTCTCAATAGTAAAAAGGTATTTAGTGGGTGATTATTCTCAATTACTAATAATATTTAATGCTGCATAAATCATCTCAAAACCCAATGCTTAGGAAACGATTGACAGAACCTATAACATGGGCCAGTGACGTGTGGGCCTATTAAAAAATAACCATGTTCTGAAATTTAATCAACTGCTGAAGCGTGCAAATACGAATAAATATTTGGTGCTAGCCAATTCTTTCCAACTAATCCCTTCAAATGAAAAAAATAATTCATAAACAAAAAACACTTATCTATCAAGTCGTCAACTTGAAAGGATCACTGTCATGGGTTTCTCAATCTTTCATCGTCAGAGCCTAACATCATCGCTATTACTGTAACTAATGTGAAGTTTATAAGACCTTAGTCATTCCCACCTTTTGAGCTAGCTTTTGGGGTGGTGTATCCCAAGGTTCTTTACATAGTATCAGAGCTTCGCCGCTCCCCACTTTCTCTTGTGGCGTTTCTTAGCACGGGTAGGCTGGGCCTGTTGCATTGTCCACTTTTCAAGCCCAATGGGCTCTTGTGTGAGGGGGCGTGTTGAGATATATAGTCCCACATTAGTTGTATGTGCAACTAATGTGAAGTTTATAAGACCTTGGCCATTTCCACCCTTTGAGCTAGCTTTTGGGGTGGTGTATCCCAAGATTCTTTACAGTAACAACTGTCACTTCCTGTAAGATCAAAATTAAGTGGCTGCACTTGAATAACTTCTGATTGCATGAGCTGAGGAACTTGAGGGTGTAATTGTTGCTCCTCAAAACTCGATAAAAGAAGAGAGTCCATGGGTGGCAATGACACAGGATCCCCAACTTTCCATCCATGTAGGGGTTTAATTGGCATATCAACAGGAAATTGCACAGGGATCCCAACTAAGGAAGCCATTTGGATAAATGCTTGTGCTCTAGGGAAAGGTAGGAGAAGAAAAAGGAGTGTTGCAGAAGGGTTAGTTAAGTGTTGTTGCTGGTGGTCATTGGTCTGAAGGGAGCTTTGGAAGTGTAGGGTTCTGGATAGAGGTTGAATTCAGGTTAATGAGGCTTAGCCATGCAGGGGATTGTAAAAGTTGGTGTTGAAGCAATTTGTATTGATGACTTTGACCCTTTCAAGTACAATTTTATGTACAAAGAAGAAAGTAAAGAATAGATTCAAGGCAATTCAGGGCTACAGCCTGCACAACTCCCCAATGAAGAGTGGAAGGCAAGAGACACTAACCCACATGCTTAAGAAGAATATTTATTGACAATTTCACCTATGTGACAAAACGTGAAGGAACAATTCAGTAGGCCAACGCAGGTTCATGGAAAAAGTAGGAATACAAAACTCAATGGACCCTTGGGTAGCAGGAAGACATTTGTGGCAAGCGTGCACCTACTTCTCTGTATCCAGTAATTCAAATAAATTAAGAAAATACGATTCATGAAATAAGCACCTATAAACACAAGAAAACTAGGAGCAGCTTACTAATCACTACTTAGGACTGATGCCTTAACTAGTGCTCCAAACATATTATGTTTAATATTGTAATGTAAAAGCTGATGGTACATAATGACCCAAAAAAAAACTCATGGTTTAAAATGAAACCAAATTCAAAAAGCAGGTATTTCTTTTATTCTCATCCAGCAAGATTGGTGGTATAGGCTAAAAGGTACAAACAAGGATTTAAAAAATATATATAGAAATGACAAATCACCAAAAGAAATAATTTATTAAAGGGTTCCAAACTTCTGCCGTCACTGCACCACTTCTTTTGGTGCAGCAGACACAGAAAAAGTGGAAAAAAAAAAGATTAGGATCCGGATGTGTATCGTGACTTTTTATATGTTGCTGCAAAAATTTACTTTTGCAGTGATAGAAGAAGTATAAAAGCCTTTATTAAAAGGATGAAATCCTCCCTTTTATCTGAAAGCTCTAATCCATCAATACAGTTATTACTAGATCAGGGCTATCCTGATTGGACTGATCAAAATCACCCACAAACTAAACACGAAAATACAAGCAACTTAACTAGAACAGTGAATGCTTCAATGATGATTGTAAGAAAGATTTGCTCATTGACCCATCATCAAACAGTCGGCGGCTGGGAGAGAAAAGGGCAGGTTTCAGGAAAATTTGCCAGGAATATCACCAAAACTAATGAGTAAACTAATCAAGCCCCAAGTTATGAACAGAGGATCCAGGACCAACCAAATCACTTAAGAGACCCCATAAGATCATAAATAACACCAGGGAGCTAAGAACATATTAGAGCAAAACCAACCGAACATCAGAAAGCTAAGAAAGAAAGAAACAAGCAAGTCAATTAAGCATTCAGAGAATTTCTAATCCTGTAGAGCAAGAAGAAACAGATAAATTACCCAAGTTTTGAAAGAAACCTGTGATCGGCACCACATAAATGAGCAATTGTAATCCTAAAGAGGGAGGAAAGAATCAAACTTCTTTGCAGCAAAACAAAATGATGAATCAAAAGCAAATACAGAGAAAATACCCACACTAAAGTCCCCGAATCAGACAAGAAGGGTCCTTCAAAGCAAAAACCCCAATTTGGTTAGGATTGGGCTGAATTTTCCCTTCAAAATCGAACCCATGTATTAAAGCCTGATTTTAAATTGAAATAGATTGGTAAGTTAATAACACTTTTGTACGTGCAGGGAAAAGCATTAGCCACACACTTTGCATTAAAAGAAATGTTGATTTGATTTTACCAAGGATTAAGTCAACTATTATTTCATTTCCTAATGAATGAAGTGATCTCAAAACACTGGTGAAAAAAAAAAGTAACTACTGTTCTTTTGTGGCCTCCCAGTCAGTCAGATTGCGGGGTGGTTAAACAGTAAGGCATAAGTCAAAGTCGCTGAAGATAACAGAAATCGGCAGAGAGGTCACATGTAGAGCAATTCACAAAGTTTTGCATTAACTATCTTGATAATGTACAGTATGCATATGCTGATCTATATTACATGGTTTGGAAGGTTCTTAAGCACTCAAATGGCTCAAAGATAGGTTATTGTGTGTACATAAAGGGGTTATGACAACTTTGTAGTTAAGCCTAGAATACATACATCTGGACTAAGCACCACCTATCAGCTGCCAAAGGTAGCATAGAAACGACACTTGGCAAGATCCCAGCTCCACTGTAAATTTTCAGGGGAAGAACTGTTCCATAGATCATTTTGTTTTAGAAATAATAGAACCTATTGCCAAATCATACTCAGACCCAAGAACAACTATCAATTGGAAACAGCTATGTGAGAGTGTTTGTAGAAATATATGTGGCCTGTATGATGTGGTCAAATAGTACAAGAATCCAAATTATTAATTATCAGGCTTTGGAATATCACCCACGCTGCTGGAGCTATCTTGAAGTCCTTGAGATGGAGAATACCGGCTTGAAGCACTCTCATCGATAACAACTCTATCCTCCATTACTGAATGCTTGCCCTTCCTTCCTCCAGAAGTGCAACTCTACAAAAATTGAAACGGAAGTTTGTTAGTTTGAGCATTGAAACAAGTTTTGATATTTCAAAAAAAACTTTGACCTACCTGATCTGCTGATGATCCGGGCATCTTAAGTTCAAGCTCTGTAGCCACTTCGTGAGACTCACTACATCTTTTGGCATCACCAGGCCTTCTATGACCGGGTGACTTGCTTCCGGATTCAATTTGGGTAGACACGTGGGACGACGTGGAAGCATACTCAACTGGGGGGTTAGCTGGAGCTGAGAATGGGACATATTGATTTCCAAAGATAGGAAAAGGTTGAAGAGATGGGTGAATGGAAATTGGAGCTGAAGGGATGGGTATAGGAACTGGATATGAATAAGGTGAACTCATAACAACAGAATGGTCAATTGAAGTCCATGGGAACATGGTTCTAACTCTCTGCTGATACTGGGTATTCAGATTTTCTATATCAGATTTCAAGGAGGCCTTCTCTTCTCTGAGTTCATTCTTTTCTTGCATTAGCTGCGAATATAAAATCAATTGAAGATTTATAAAAATCTCTCTGAGTGACAAAATTCAAAGAAACAAGAAACCTTACTTCACGTGACTCTTCAGAAAGTGCTTTATGCTCCATTTTCAGTCTATTAACTTGGGCACTTAAGTCCTTAATCATTTGGATTGTCTCATTAAGGATAGTTGCCTTGTCATTCCTTGGTCTATCAGGATCTGCATTTTGAGTTCAACAAACATAAATATCTAAACCACTTATAAACATAATACATCCTGAACTATATATATATAGGGTAGGATCCTTTGATACCAGTGTCAAATTTAAAGTTTAACACCTCATCTGAGAGCCGTTAGATCAAAAAAGATCAACGACTCTGATTTGTAAGCATGTGACACCATTGATCTTTTGTGATCTAACGGATCTCAGATGAGGTGTCAAAATTTAAATTTAACACCGGTGTTAAAGGATTCTGCCCCTATATTGACGTCCAGCACATAAATTCAGGAAATCATAACTATACAAAGGTGGATGAAATCATTAAATGTGGAGAATCATAACCAATCAACTATATAAGATTTACTGCTGGATGTTTAGCCGCCGGGAAAGTGATTTTTCCATATATATATATATATATATATGTATATATAGTAAAATTATTTCTGCCGCCGCTTTACGTACAGCAACGATAGATGTATGGTTATGATTCCCCACATTTAAGGCTTTCATCTTTTGTATGATTATGATTCCCCACATTTAATACTTTCACGTATATATATGGCAAGTATTTGATTGCTGCACGTACAACAACTGTAGAAATATAAACCCCTATATTTGTAGTATCGGTAATGGACTCGACTAATCTAATTTTGGATTTGTCCCACTCCACCCTCTCCAAGAATTGCGAGTCTTATGATTCAAACCCACCACCCTTTAAGAAGGTCAAACACCAGTCGTCACTGGACTAACAACTCTTAATATATCCTGAACTAGATATTTATATATACAAAAACTAGATAAAAGTTCTTGAAAAAAAAACACCTTTTGACTAGAAAGCTATATTAATTGCAATTGTATGGAACACAAGGAAGGGCCTAATAAAACAAGAAGCATATCATGTGGAATATCTTCAATGAACAAAATGAAACACAAACAAGTCCCAGAAATAGTAAGATGTGTTATAATATGATATGATGTGTGATGCATTCAAATAAAGTAAAAAACAAAGGAATGAATTAATGCGTTGATTTACCTAACGTGTTTCCCAGTTCATGGAACTGATCATTTAGTCGACCCCTCCTCAATTTCTCGCGGTCTGCTTTCTGAACTTTTCTTGCAGCACTAGGATCCTCATGAACCCTCTCCCTACACAAAAAAACAGTTAGAAACCAACCAACATAACTAACGATTTGAATGAAGTAAAAAAACAAATGCAACAACTATCACACGCTAAACTCCCAAAAAAAAAAAAAAAAGTATAAATTATTGAACATGTTAAATTCACATCCAAACCTCACAATTTGTTGGTTGGAGTTGTTGTGGAAGCGGTTAGAGGTGACAGTGACGGGTTGAGGGGCAGAATCTGCTGCAGCAGATGCAGTTTTGGATAAGTCTTGCGGCTTCCACTGATCCATTTTTTGCATTCAGGTGAGGTATGCGATGCTTGCTAGTTGCTTCCAGTGAATGCCAAAATTTGTTTGCAGAGAGAGAGAGAGAGACACGCGCATCAAGCTTGTGCCTTCCACGAGCCAGCGAGGTCACATCTTCGTGCGTAACCCACACACGTCTGTTTTGATTTTTTTTTAATCATTTCATTTTCACGCGAATCCGTTTCCGCACGCCATTCTGTTTTCGGTGTTTTCGTGTCACGTAACAATCGGGTAAACTCGGACCCGGACTTAAATGGATCCTATTTTGTGATTTTGTACTTATTTCTCAGGTTAAAGGAGATAGTTATCTCATGTCATAGAGACAAATTAGTGAGTTCCATCATCTGAAAAAAAATAAAAATGACACAGTTATCGAAAGGTGTGTAAGAGAAAAAATTTATGTCATGTGACAAAAATAATTTTTCCCATTTATAAATGTATTAAATGAGAGATAAATACAAAATTTCTCTTACTTCAAGTCTCATTTATAAATTGGTTAATATCATTTTATATGTGTGCAAGTTACATTTTCAATATTATTCGTTGATTTATATATGATGGCTCTGTTTTATTATATAGTTGAATTCTTAGGTATAAGGAGATCAATAGATAAAATTGAGTATAAACTAGTGGTAATATCCTTTTATAGATATGTACAAAGTAAGAGATAAATATAAAATTACGATATAATAAGATAACATAAAAAAAAGTCTACCTGGTGAGAACTAACAGCCACTTAGACCACAAAAATCAATGGGTCATACGTCAGTGACCTTAGGATTATGCAAATATTCACGCGCCTATTCCGTTACATTTATGTAATTTTTATTGAAAAAAACTATTATCGTGACTCTCTTTTTTATACACTTATAAATTTTTGTATAATTTAATTTTTATTTTTTATAAGTGAGTGGATTCCACTTTTGTTTGTATCTATGGTAGGAAAGAATTATTCTCCTTCAACACGAAATTAATAAAACTCATTTTTATTATTTGATTATTAATATGGGACAAAAACCATATTAACATCATAACACTTCACATAATTAAAATATATTATTAAGAGCTAAATTGTGGGCTAGAGGGTTTAATTAGTGAAAATATTGAGTTTTAGGTCAAAATATTCACCAGGGACAAAATGATTATTTGGCAGGTAAGCAACCTTAAACTGTGAAATGGTATAATTAGCCTTTTTTTTTGTAAGCAATAATTAGACTTTATTTGATGAAACTAATGATAAAATTGGAATCAGAACGAAATTTGGAGTGGATAGGCACTTTTTGAAAAAAAAGAAGATGAATAGTAAAATTTATTGGGTAAAATACTGCGATACAATTTTATCGGGAGACTCAGAAATGAGATTACTATTATAGGATTGAATACATGTTAGTAGAGGCATTTAGAACTAAGAAGGTGATTATTGGAATTATTTGCAAATTTTCAATGATTTTGGGGGAACGTGTCGAAAGTACATAACTAGGGGTAAAATTATAATTTCACTAAATTACTGGGGAACTTGAGATTCGTCTGTTAAAATGATTTTAATGGACTTTGGTGAATATTGAATTTTTGGATATAGTGATTGGATCATGGATTAAATGAAGGTTAATCGAGTAAAATTTCTTAAACTCATTAACGGTATTTTAGTCTTTTCCTAGAGGGTCCCATTTAAATCACTTAAAACCCATTTGAACCCCTCTTTCTCTCTCCCAAATCTGCGGCCTCTTCCCCTATTCCCCTTGCAATAACTGAAACCACCATTGGTGGTGCCAAAAGGAAGCTTAAAACCTCACCTTTTACTGTAGACACTTTTAGGAAAAACTTTGAACACCAAAGTTGTTTACCATAAGCTTGTGAGTGATTTTCATGTTGAGAGCATTCCTTGAAGACCATTGTGTGGAGAGCTCTTCTCCCTTGAACATTTTGACCTATAGAAGGGAGGTTGAGCTTGAAAGTTCATTTGACTTGCTTTGGTGCATGAAAACACATCCTAAGAGTCTTTGGAGATCATTTGCTGTAAGTATTCCAACCTTTGACTTGATTTATGCTGGATTAAAAAATGGCTATAGTTTTTGAATATGTGTTGATTGGTGGGTGTTGTTGGAAGCATTAAATGGCTATGTCCTTTTGGTATTTGTTGCTTGAAATGATATCTAATTGGTGAAAATCAAATAATAATTCAAGGTGAGGATTTTGACACTTAGAAAACTTTTCATGATGGAAAAGTGAGTGAAATTGATGGAGCCATAAATGTGGATGGTGTAATTGAATTAGTGGTTGTTGGAATCCTAAATGATGGAGTTAAATGAGAGTTTAATGGATGATAGTTGAATGAAAATCCCTCGGCATTATTGGACATGCAACCCTCGGCCATTGTGCTCAAAATTGAGTGGTGAGGAATCTATGGTGTGTAATAGTGTTATAAGAAAAGTTAATGGAGTGATGAAATGAATTGAATTGAATTGAAATAAAACACAATTGGATGTGTTTTGGGACCCTTGGCCGAAAGCCTAGCCATTTAGGGAGTCATATTTTTATGCTTGGTTTGTAACTTGTTTGACAAGTTAATGTTGATCATATTGTGGTATGATCTTGTAGGTTGCCTCCCTTGGATCTCATTATAGAGGATTGAGCTTGGAGTTTCACTCTTGGAGAGCCATTGGTCCTTGATCATTAAGGATTTGGTGAGTCGTTGGACTTGAATTTCTATGTGTTTGTATTGTGGGAAATAATTGAATTGAGTACAAATGTTAATTAGGAAAATTACCTTGAATAGGTGACCTTGCATAAATAGTGTTGTGAGCTTGCTTGTGGATGAAATAACTTGAGGTTGAAACTATCTATCTTGGAAGCTTCAAAGAGGTAAACTCCTGTGTCCTGGGGTTAATCTCCTTGTGTGCTCCACCATGCCAATGGGTAATGGTTGGAATTTGTGACATGTGATAGTGTTTAATAAAGTATGTTCATGCATTTAAACATGTTGTATGCAATATTTATATTGCTTGTGATGCCTGTTTCTCTGATTAATAAAAAATTGGGGGGGGGGGGGGGTCTTCCACTAGATAGGTCTCCTAAGGGAGTTCTAGTTGACGTTGTGCCATAGAAATGTTATCCATTGGGAGCACTCTAGAAATATCTCGGGAGTTATATGATGGGGTCTTTGAACAATATCCATAAGTGGATGTTCTCAGATTTGTGCCCAGTTGATTGTTTGATTATATGTTGTACTATATGAATATTATCATTGTATGGATATTTTAGTGAGTCATTGGGTTGAGTGACCCTCTAGGGCCCTTGATTTATTGAGATTGTCAAATCTCACCCCTTATTTGGGGGGACATCATTTCAAGTACAATTGAGTAGATGGGAGGAGCCACGGGCAAGAAGTCCATCTAGGCCATTGGATTTGGACATATGGAGTGCATGATATCATTTGGCATTTTGGGAGATTATTCTATAAGGATGTATATTGTAGTTATTTATTTTATATCATTGATTTAGGGTATGAACATTGGTGTTGCATGATGTTGTATTTACTATGCTTAAGGTTGTTCATACTTTTGTGTCTAAGTCATTTGATTATGTATTGTAATATTTGGTAAAGGTAACCATGGAGATGTAATAGTTAAATTTGATAAGTTGATGTAAATGTAATCTTAATTGGTACCACTTGAGAACTATGGAATTGTAATATTTGATATATGTGATGGAAGAGCATTAGGCCTATTTTAGTATTGATGTTGTATATAGGTTATGTATGAAAATAGGATAATGAGCATGTAATGGAAATGATATCAATTGTTTTAGGTGAAATTGATAAATGTGATAAAGGGTAACTTGTAATTCAAGTAACTTGTGAAGAATGATTTATGAATTAAGTAATCAACATATTGTGAATTATTATGAGGGATGTAAGTGCACAAGGTTTGTTCGGACTTTGGATGTCATTCCATGTCAATTAGGTACACAATTGAAGAAAGGTATTAGTTGTAAAAATAAAGGAGGTGCTGTCAAAATTTCTAGGAAAAGTAGTGATTTTAACTCTAAATTTAGAGATTGATATCTCTCTCATTTCTTGGTCAAATGAGGTGTGTGACCTAACATTTTTCAGATTATGATGTCTCCTACATTGTCCTAAAATGTGGGACTATTATGTGTTGTAGAACATGCCTAGTTTTCAAATAAGTGAGGACTGTCCAGGTTTGCAAAGCTGGCTGCAGCCTCTCTTTGCGATCATGAAAAATTCATATCTCTCTCATTTCTTACCCAAATTAGACTTATAATATATCAAATTAAAGTTCAAGGTGTACACTACAACATATTAAAATTTAAGAGAAATCATATTAGTAGGACATCTGGAATCGCTAAAATAGTGAGAGATTCCAGTTGCCCTGTTCGCTGTCTATTGACAGTTTTGAGGAAATAACTTTCGGCGAGCATATTCAGAGTTATAGAAATCCAATTAAGGCTTATGATACCTCATTGAAAAGATAGAAGGGTCTAGTTTAACAAAGATGGAGATTTATTGACAAGTGGATCATGCCTAATTTTGATAAAATCGAGGCATACTATGTGTAGAAAAGTGTAAAATAGTGAAATTGGATTCGATGGTTTATAGGAACCACTTAGCTACATTAATTGAGAGTTGTATGACTATGATTCACGGACACTGACACTGACACGGGACACGGGACACGACACGACACGCCGACACGTTAATTCTATAAAATGGCATATTTCTACACGATGGGACACGTTTTGATATTAAATAATATTTTTATTATATATAATATAATTTATATTTAATAGATATAACAGTTCATAATAAGTCATATAACCAATCAAATATTCAAATTTCATAACATAAATATAAACAAAAATAATTTTTCGTACCTTGTTACTTTTTAATGTCAAATTTCATAGCAGAAAAAAATTAATTTATAAATAATTTTTTTTTTATTTTTGATTAATAAAATAAAATTAAGACAAAAAAAACGTGTCGGAGCGTTGACCACGTG